ATAAACGCGTAATTGTTGTCGTGCCATCGTAGGAACAATGCGTTCGTTATAAGTGTTGAAAGATTGTTGAATGTTTGTGAAGCAAGTGGATGTTTACATTTTATAGATATCAGATTTTAATAATAATATTACTTCCAGAAATGCGTATGATACTTTGCTTTCTTTAGTAAAAATATTCGGCTGTTATTGCTATTTGCTTTTGTTATTATATTATGACAGTTCTTAATATGTACGTTAGAACCTAATAAGGCCTTTTCTTCGAATTCGGATCGACAACTTTCATTTTCCTTCCGAATTTTCCGTGGATATCCTTTCGAATTCGTTCCGCCTTCGGTTCGAAATTCGGCTAAAACTTCAGAGATTCATCAGAACCTTCGGTCCGACAACACGTCAACCATTCCATATAACTTACCGAATAACGGACCGAATACGCATCCGAAATCGGAAGCCTCAGCGGACTTTCGGTTCTAAGTCGAAACGAACCCGGACAGTTTGGTTCGCTGGGTACACCCACATACAACCTTATACACCGACACAAAGTGTATATGTATATTCCAATTTAGATGCATCTCTGTTCATTCGCGCCCTAGCACTAAAATTCTATTTTCCCTGATAACATTTGATGCTACGTTTGTGTTTTCCTGTTTCTTCTTTAGTTATGGCGGAGTCTTTTTACGAACACGGTTGGAGATTATTCAGAGGAGCCCGAGCACATGCATTGTCCAACAAATGAAAACGCCACCAATGCGCCATAAAGCAACAACAAAAGATACATTGCTAGGAGCAAAACTCAATCGCCATATCTAACAAAGAATGCAATTTTAAAACCCACCGAAGTAGTCAGCGGTTGATAGGCAGTTTGTTTCCGATTTCTGTATGCAAAGTTGAAAGAAAAAAATATTGCCTACAAAAGGCAATGTACATCCTTTGCTAAACTGCATAAATGAATACAGGAGAACTGCACTTATAGAGAACACTGCTTATAACGAACAGTAGTATTAAAACAAGTAAGAAAAGGCTATAGTCGTGCGGGGCTGACTATGTTATACTCCACAACACTACAATATATTAGAAGCCCCCTTATGTCCAAATTCATATTAGAAGATTTCGATTTTGACTAGGGACATTTCCCCAACATTTATGCACTCCGTCGGGCTGTTAGTTGTTGTAGTCCTTTTTACAGATAAATATAATCCAATGGTCATCCAAAATGCTAGAATTCTTCCCTGTCCTTAACTCTTTTCAAAGGCGTGTCGATTGGATTCAATTGTGTGATCGGAAGAACATTTCTGTTTTTGGTTAATTTGAACCCCTAATTATTTTGCAATCATCTCCAAAAGCAAGAAGCCCATCTGTATCTCCAAATTTAGACTCATCTATATAATTTGCTTGTCTACTATATTTGGCTATATTCGTCAATGAAATCATCATAAAAAAGCCAGAAATTCGCCTTATGTGTATTTCGGATATCGCCTGTAAGTAATGATGGTATTTTTCACACAAAATTAGTGATCCATTGTACCCGCTGTCCTAACTCTAATTTTATGCGGAATTTCGTGTTCTTTGGTTTGTATTTGTGACCTTTATAACGGCTGCAAAATCAGGAAAATTTTTAGTTGTTGGTCCATTTCAACCCCTAATATATTGCGGACATCTTTGAAAACAATAGGCCTAGCCCTTCTGAGCAAAACCCTACCCTTGTAAAAATTTTCGTGAGGATAGGACGATATTTGCAATACTTATATAATATCCCCAACCTGTGTTGTAGGGTAAAAAATATTACAAAAACCAGTAAAGAAAGTCTTAAAGTCGGGCGGGGCCGACTTTATGATACCCTACACCATTTTGCTAATTAAGTAGAGCTCCACATAACAATTAAAAGTTTTTATGAGAGAATTCAATCATACACGCTATGATTATAATTATAATTTAAAGTTCAAAGGACTAAATATGCCGAAGCATTTGTATCTTTTAAATTCGGAATTGTATTGCCCATTTGGTGCACAATTAATTTGAAATCTTATAAAGACATATATGGGAGGTATATCCAAATCTGAACCGATCTCGATAAAATTTGGCAAAGATATTTCTGAGCTGTATTTCATATATTTCCCTGAATATCGTTGTTACGGAGTGCATATTACGGTTGTGGGTAACAAATATAACAAATCGGATGAATAATATATATGGAAGCTATAGCTATATCTGAACCGATCTTCACCAAATTTGACATAGCAGCTTCTAGACTCAATTCGGTCGTAATTACTAAATTCCATCCCATTTGGACAAATATTAGACGTTTGGTGCACAATAAAAGGTAAATCGGACGAAGTTATATATGGGAGCTATATCCAAATCTGAACCGATCTCGATAAAATTTAGCAAAAGTATTTCTGAGTTGTATTTGATATATTTCCCCAAATATTGTTGTTACAGAGTGCATATTACGGCGGCGGTGGACAAAAATAACAAATCGGATGAACAATATATATGGGAGCTATAGCTATATCTGAACCGATTTCGATCATATTTGGCATACATATTTTCAGGACTAATTTGGGTGTATATGCAAAATTCCATACAATTCGGGCTAATATTACACGTTTGGTGCACAATAAAAGGCAAATCGGACGAAGATATATATGGGAGCTATATCTAAATTTTGACCGATTATCTCCAATTTCAATAGGGTTCGTCCTCGGGCCAAACAAATGATATATGCAAAATTTCATCTCAATCGGATAATAAATGCGACCTGCATTTTGTTCACAAAAAAAATGGACAGACGGACAGACGGACTGACATGCATAAATCAACTCAGAAAGTGATTCTATGCAGATCATCAAAAGGAGCTATCGGTCTATCTCATTTCCTTTTGCCTGTTACAAACAAATGCACAAAGACATAATACCCTGACCACCTTGTGGTGTAGGGTATAAAAAGTCAGAAGTTCGCCTTTAGTGTATTTCGGATATCGCCTGTACGTAATGTTGGTATTTTTATACACAAAAGTAGTGGTCCATTCTACCCGCTATCATAACTCTAACTTCATGGGGGATTTCGTGTTTTTTGGTTTTTATTTGTGGCCTTTATAACGTTTGCAAAATCAGGAACGTGTTTAAATGTTGGTCCATTCCAACCTCTAAATATATTGCGGACATCTATGAAAATGATAGACCTAGCCCTTCTGAGCCTAACCCTACCTTTGTGAAAATTTTCGTGAGGATCGGACGATAATTGCAATCTGTATATAATTACCCCAACCTGTGTTGTAAGTTGAAAAAAATATTACAAATATTTCAATATTTTAAGTAAAATTGAAAAAATCGCATGCGATAAAAAATATGAAAAAATAAAAAACAAATGTCACAAAATACTACAAAATCTATATTAACATCATTATTGGCATCTTTTTATGCAATTTTTTTAGATTTTATACTTTTATGTCAAGAGGGCATTCTGAATTTACAGAGTTTGTCTAAATCTCTATATATCCTATATATTTACTATCGGCTTCTACGTAACGGTCAGAATTGACCTGTTCGTCTATTTGTGATTTCGCCAGGATTAAAAATATTCGCGGTTTACGGAAAATTTGACTTTTATTCAACACAAATGTTATGTCTATTTCACCCACTAAATATTACCCGATGACCATCAAAATTGGATGGTTTCTGCCCAGCCATAAGCTCTAGCATCATGCTAACTTCCGCTTCGATTGGTCTGTAATTGTGACCTGTAGAGCAACTGCAAAATCAGGAAATTTTTCAGGTTTTGGTCCATTTCAACCCCTAAATATTATGCGATCATCTCCAAAAGAAATAGGGTTCTATTCTGGCCTTCCACTTTCAATTTCGTGAGGATCGGTCCATAATTGCGACCTGTAGAGTGATTACAAATTAACATGGACACACGGACAGACGGATATACATAGCTAGATCGACTCAGTTCAGCCAGATAGGAAGATCTATATATACTTTCCTATGTGGGAAACCAATATTTCGAGGTGTTACATAATTTATGGCCCAATAAAACTTATAATACCCCAAACACATAGTGTTGTAGGGTATAAATAGTACCATTTAATTCATAGTATATATACCTTATGTGATAGGGGTATTATAAATTTGATTGGGCCAAAAATTATGTAACACCTCGAAATATTGGTTTCCCGTCTAGCCATGTTCCTATACGATTAAGGCTCTATCCTTACGAAATTTTGCATGGAGTTAAGGTTAGGGTGACGGATGATAGCAAAATCTTATGGGATTAAAATGGACCGAAAACTAAAAATTTTCTGATTTTGCAGTCGCTCTATAGGCCACAATTAAAAACCAATTGACACTGAATTTCTCATGAGGTAACATTTTAGCATTTTGTGTGGTAATTGGAAAATATATAACGGATAGGATGGACTTTGTGTGAAATTATTTTGAATACCAAAGGCAAACGTCACCGATTAAAAACAAAAGGTAACATTTTTGCAGGATTGTATTGCATTATTTCAAAAACGTAATTGGCCGAAATGGGCTTGGACCAAAGGGGGCTTTGCAATATATTATAGTGTTATAGGGCCCTACCCGACTATAGCCTTTTCTTACATGTTTTATTAACCCGTTAACTTTTTTAGAATGCGAATGTGGTTTGAACTGAACATGCATAACAGCGAATTGCAAAAAGATGTAATTACATACTAAAGTAAAGCTGAACATTTAAATGAAAAAACTCTTGTTGACTTGCAGAATTTAGTTATATTCTGCGGCAGAAACCTTAAAACTTCTTTAAATTGGAGGATATTGTTATATAAGTACGTTACAGCGTAGTAGATCCATATTAAATACACTTTTCTTTTACTTTTCTACAAACCGACATAAGTACCCTTGTAAAAACCATCCGTATTGGAGATATAAAACACATTTTCACAACTTGGGGAAAACTTGAAACACTTGCAGGATAAAAATTGCAACACAAAAAGGGCAACAAAAATGAAACAAAACAACAACCTCATTATTTATGTTTTATTTGTTTATATTTTGTTCAGTTGTTTTCTTCTTTTGTTTTTCATTATGTTTCGTTTGGACATCCTTTGGCAGTTTTAGCAAATAAATACAATGAAAAAAAAAAATTGCAGACAATTGCTTGCTTCGCATCTCACATTGGATATAGGCCAAATAAACATATTTTTTAATTACATTTCAGTTGTTATTTTGCATACCACAGCTGAGAAGGGGCGTAAGAGATATGTCGAACTTCTCTTTCTTGTCACTAGGCTTTGGTCCGGTTGATGCTGCCACCATTAGCCAACATTCAACAGCCAAACGAATCAAATACATGAGAGTTAAATTTGTATTACTCGTATCAGCAAAAAAGACCAAAGATTGAACAAAAGCATCAAAATGTTGTGAAAACTGCAAAATGAAAAACATACACAACAGATTGTAGTTAACTTGATGAACGAAAGAAAAAGCGGATAATTTCTGGTGCAATGGAAATATATGTCCCAAATCGGAACTTAACTAAGACAAAACCAGTAAAGAAAATCTTAAAGTCGGGCGGGGCCGACTTTATGATACCCTACACCACTTTGCTAATTTATCAGAGCTCAGCATAACAATTAAAAGTTTTATGGGAGAATTCAATTATACACGCTATGATTATAGTTAAAATTTAAAGTTTAAAAGACTAAATACGCCGAAGCATTTGTATCTTTAAAATTTGGACTTGTACAATTAATTTGAAATCGGGTAAAGATAAATATGGGAGCTATATCCAAATCGGGGCCGATCTCGATAAAATTTGGCAACGATATTTCTAAGCTGTATTTGATATACTGAATACATCTGAATATTGTTACGGAGTGCATATTACGGCTGTGGGTAACGGATATAACAAATCGGGTGAACAGTATATATGGGAGCTATAGCTATATCTGAAACGATCTTCACCAAATTTGACATACTTCTAGACTCAATTCTGTCGTAAATGTCAAATTCCATCCCATTTGGACAAATATTAGGCGTTTGGTGCACAATAAAAGGTAAATCGGACGAAGTTATATATGGGAGGTATATCCAAATCTGAACCGATCTCGATAAAATTTAGCAAAGGTATTTCTGAGCTGCATTTGATGTATTTCCCCAAATATTGTTGTTACAGGGTGAATATTACGGCTGCGGAGGACAAAAATAGCAAATCGGATGAACAATATATATGAGAGCTATAGCTATATCTGAACCGATTTCGATCAAATTTGGCATACTTATTTTCAGGCCTAATTGAGTTGTATGTGCAAAATTCCATACTATTCGGGCTGATATTACACATTTGGTGCACAATAAAAGGCAAATCGGACGAAGATATATATGGGAGGTATATCTAAAAATTTACCGATTATATATAGATCCCACATATAACTTCGTCCGATTTGTATTTAACAATTTAAACGAAATCAAAAATATCAAATTTTTGTCCTCCACGGCTGTAATATGCATTCCGTAACAATGATATTCCAGAAAATATATCAAATAAAGCTGAGAAATACCTTTGCGAAATTTATTGACATCGGTTAACGTTGGATATAGCACCCATATATATCTTTATCCTTTTTCAAGTTTATTGCGCACCGAATGGCTAATATAAGCCCGAATAGAAAGGTAGAAAGGGTATTAATTTGATGTATATAAATTAAGAGTTAGCCATAGGCCTCATTTATATGTTTCATCAGATTTTGTATTTTAGTCCCTCACACCCGTACCCGATACAGAATAGAATAGCTCCCATACATATCTTCATCAAAAAGGTTGGATTTTGAATATGAATATCGGTTCAGTCAAAAGTGGCCCGCAAATTTAATAGAAATCGATTCAGAGGAGTATATACCCATATTTTAGTTCCTTTTTCCCAAGTAAAGTTCTTCTTTAGGAAGTAAAGTTTTTGTATACATGAAACCCTTTTGATTAGAAATGCAGATATTGGGGTACATAGTTCAAATATTTTAAAAAATTACAATGGAGATATCTCTTAATTACCTAGAATGGCGAAACACAAGAAGAATATTTTATTAGTATCGATTTTTTTCCTGAAAGAATAAAATAGTTTTGCACTGGGTAGTTTTAATAATGTGTGATTAAATTATAACATAAGCCAGTTAAAATTAAAAAGAGATGGGAAATAGGTTTAATTTTCCAACAGCAACAATTTTTACCAGCAAAACTTTACGCATGAATATTTTGAAATTTTCCAACAGCAACAATTTTTAGCAGCAAAACTTTACGCATGAATATGACTTTAATTTAAATAGCATTTTGTCATTTACTAAACTACAAGCAGCAAACATAGGAAATGACATAATTTCATTTTTGTCTAAAAGAGGAAACGACAAAAAAATGTTCACTTAAAGCCCACGAAATTCCACAAAGAAAGGAAATGCCAAGTAAATGCAAATGGAGCAAGAAAAGGTTACGACCAACTGCTGTCAGGATTTATTATTGTCTTTCTCTCCAAAAGTTGTAATAACTCATGCTTTTTCGCTTCCTCTCTTCTTCGAAACAAAAAGTTGAAAGAAGAATAAAAAACGCTAAAAGAACTTAATACGAACTTCATGAAAAACATCTGCAAACAATAGAGGTCTGTAAGGAAAACTTCATAGCAGAAAACAAAATCCAAGTCGCTTTAAAATGACAAGTTAACATAAATGGGAAACGCTGGCTAATTGTACATATGAGAAGCATGAGCGAAAATGGCAAAGAAATTATGTAAGTCCATAATTAAGAATGTTATCTAATATGTAATTATTGCGATTACGAATATATTCATTTTTGTACCCTTCACTTTGGAAAGGAGGGTATATTAACTTTGTCTTTCCTTTTATAACATCCCTAAATATTCGTCGTAGATACCACAAAGTATATATATTCATAATCAGCATAAAATTCTAAGTCGATTTAATTTAATGTCCGTCTGTCTGTCCGTCTGTCTGCCTGTCTGTCCGTCTGTCTATTGAAATCACGATACAGGCCACATTATTTGACGTAGAGCGTCAAAATTTAGCAGAAAAATTTGTATTGTGTCTAGGATTGTTGGTATTGAAAATGAGATATATAGGATGGTATTGAAAATGGGATATATCGTTTTGTGTAGTCTCCATATAACGGTACCTCCCGATATTCGGTATTTTTATGATTTTTCCCACATTTTTTACGGATTTGTCAAAAAATTTGGTATTTGTTAGTCATAATGGGTCCTAGTTCGTGTGGCGAAGCATTGTATGCATAGGCCCACGCTTTGATGTAGCCCCCATATAACGGTACCTCCAGATATTCGGTATTTTGATGATTTTTGCCACACTTTTTAACGGATTTGTCTGAAAATTGGTATTTGTTGGTCATAATGGGTCCTAGTTCGTGTAGGGAAGCATTGTATGCATAGACTCACGCTTTGGTATAGCCCCCATATAACGGTACCTACCAATATTCGGTATTTTGATGATTTTTGTCACATTTTTACATGGATTTTTCTAAAATTTGGTATTTTTTTGGTCATAATGGGTTCTTTCTCTGGTGGCGAAACATTGCATGTATAGGTCCATGTTTTGGTATAGTCCCAATATAAGGGTACCTCCCGATATTCGGTATTTTGATGATTTTTGCCACATTTTCTGACGGCTTTGACTGAGAATTGGTATTTGTAGGTAATAATCGGTCCTAGTTCATGTGGCGAAACATTGTATGTATAGGTCCACGCTTTGGTATAGCCCCATATAACGGTATCTCCCGATATTTGGTATTTTGATGGTTTTTGTCACATTTTTTCACGGATTTTTCTAAAAATTGGAATTTGTTGGTTCTAATAGGTTCTAGCTCCGTCAGCAAAACATTGTATGTATAGGTCCACATTTTTGTATATCCCTATATAGCGGGGGTTAAAGTCCCTCATTAGCGTAATACACATTGCGCAACAATGATATTTGTACCAGATATCTTATAAAGCTTGGAAATACTTTTGCCAAATTGTATCGACAACGGCTTAAATTTGGATATAGCTAGGTTAATCAGATTTCAAGATTATTGTGCAAATAATGGCAAATATCAGCCCAAATGAAGTGAATTTCGGGACGTACGTTTCCATTTTGTGCAACTCGGCTACGATATATATATTTTTAATATAATCCTTCTCCAAGTGATGTCATTCACTCTATAGCAAACCATATCTGCTCTAAAGCCAAATATTGATAAGTGGAATGATCTACTTGAAATAAATGCTTTTGTTACGGGAGCTCTACTAAATATACACAGTGGTGAAGGGTATCATATACTCAGCCCCGCCCGACTGATTTATTTAGGGTTCGTAACGGTAATAATAAATTTTCATTAACTAGTAACTCCAGATTAGAAGTCTCCAAAAGAAGATTGTTAAGACGCACTATCAAGAGACATTCAATGCTAATATATTCTTTGAGTGAATTTGAAAATACAAACATACTTTTTGAAAACAGGGTTATTAAAAAAACGTCTATGGCCAAGATAAATTTTCGATTTTCCAAGGGCGGACAAACATTTATTTTACAATGTAAAAAACAGCCCTAAAGGAATTAACAGCATGCATCCACTCCCAAAGATATAATCGATGCTTTCTGTTTTATTCCTTGCAAGAACCATTTAAACTAACTATGTGTGTATGAAGAATTTTTTACACCTTGTAGTTACATTCATTATTTAAAATCAACTTCAGGCAAATTCCTTTCACGCACATTTCTATATATGTGAGAAGGTATGTATGCAGCAGATGGGACTTTTTCTTATGGGGTAATTTTAACTGTAAATTATTTTTCAAACCGCAAAAACACCAAAGGATAAAAAATAAATTCAGCAAAAGAAAGAAGGTATGAAAGATGCTTAAAGCCCGCACCTCATCAGTAATTGAGCTGTCAATACAGTTTGTTGAACATGTTAACATGATTACTTTTCCCTACATTCAGTCCCTTAGGGGGGGAAGGATGTACGAGTGTTGAGTATTTCTTAAATCTATAGATAAAGTGAATGGCACCAATGAAGCCTAATAAATTAAAAAACGTCTAAAGATCAAACCTTTTACTAATAATACAAACTTATGTAAATAAACCAGCGGATAGAAAGCAGATTATTTACTTTTTTCATGTTCTTAAGTATCTCCCTTTTAATTGTATATTTATAATGTCTTTGGTTGCTATATTAAGACTTTATTCCCCCAAGCAAATATTTCAATGGAAACCTCAAAAATGTTTAAGTATTTGTTTATATAAAATGTTTGCCTGTTTTTATACCCTACACCACATAGTGGTAAGGGTATTATGTCTTTGTGCATTTGTTTGTAACATGGAGAAGGAAACGAGATAGACCCATAGTTACTTTTGAGAACCTTCATAGAATCA